ATCGTTATGAGTCTATCGATTGATGAGTAGAATTTTATTATAAACAATTGTCTTATAAATGGAATTTTTAAAGCATTCTGAATGTAAAAATAAAGAAAAAATGTGAAAGACAATAAGAAACACTACCTGCCAAAAAAAAAGTGAAGTTTTGTTGAAATCGGTTGAAAAATGTAGGTAGCCTTTCTCTGTAATCTTTTACAATTTATAATTTTTACTTATTGAATAATACAGTAAAAAAAATTGCATATTTTGCTTGTGGTGATTCATAATTAGAATTCTGATTTGAATATATTTTCCACTCGTTGTTTCTAATACAAAAAAATATTAACTTTATTTGGGTTTATTAATTTATTACAAGTACTGTGTTCTTTCCTTAATAATTATCATCTTCGAAATAATGTTGTTTTTTGTCTATCAGATTTCTTACGTCGGCATTTTTAAATTATTTCTTAATACTTTCTTTTAAATAATTGAATTAATTTCAAATAGAACCAATGCCCTATTGATCTGCCTTGTAACAAATTGCAAAGGGATTTGTAAAAACGGCCCTAAAGTACGTGGAATTATCTTTCCCTAAAGATAAAGAATTATCCGATTTTTCGATTCGTACAATCAGTAGAGATCGTTAGATTATTGTTTAGGTTGACGGACACGCATGTCTTAGTTTGTTTTATTTTTGTTTTTTTATTACGAATTGGTCAAACCCAAACTCAAACAAAAACATTGTTTTGAATCGTTATGATGAGTCCCCTGATTGAATAGAATTAGAATTTTATTATAAACAATTGTCTTGTAAATGGAATTTTTAAAGCATTCTGAATGTATAAATAAAGAAAAAAGTGTGCAAAACAATAAGAAACACTACCTGCCAAAAAAAAAAGTGGATATTTGTTTTATCGGCTGAAAAATGTAAGAAATCCGATCCCATATATAAAGGAACACACACACACACAAACAACCTGGGTCTTTTTTAACCCGATGTGAGTTGTCCCCCTTTCATTCTCACGATGTGTCTTAATCGTGTTTTCAAATTGATTTTGTTAAAAAACGCTTGTGTTTTTCCCATTTTCGGCGCCGTTAGAACCACCACAAGGTAATTTTATGTAGTCCTCTGAAGTTTTGTTGAAATCGACTAAAAAATGTAGGAAATCCGATCCAATATATAAACGTTACAGACACAGACACACACACACAACCTGCGTTTTATAATAAGTAAGATAAATGTGGACAAAAACAATTAGCCACTACAAAAATGCATTCTAGTTTCGATGATTTATTTGCATCTCGACTGGTAGAAACTAAAAATGGTAACCATTTTTAGTTCCCACGAGTTGAGATGCAAATGTAAAAATCTATAATAAATAATTATTGCTCTACTCTTGGTATTGAACCCTCTTCTAAACGTTAGAATTTGCATTATTCTCGTTCTCATTATATATATATATATATATATATATATATATATATATAGTGCGTATATTTTGGTAGCATGTTTTCATTAAGACATGTCACATAGAATAAATTAGATAATATTTGTCTACTTAATTGGATACCCTCTTATTCACGGACAAACTTCTTAGTGTCTTTATTAAAGGAAGAGACAAAATTACCAGGGTGATACACATTCATATTTTATGTGCTGTGACATAGTCCTTCAGAGGACGAAACGCGTCGGCTAAGCATAGTTTTTCCTCGTTTCTTTTAGTTCATTTTGCATCTTCTACAGATACACGACATCTGATAATATTTACACACACACACATAATATATATACACACATGTAAATATATATATATATATATATATATATATATATATATATATGTATGTATAAACGCACATATATAAGCACACATATATTCCCTAAATAAAAGTAAGTGTAATATTAAACTAGAGTACGTCCCAAACACGAGCGCAAATAACAACAGTCAACATAGAAATAGAAAACGCAACATAATTTTGTTCAACGAATCTTTCAATAGTAACGTCAGAACCAACATCGGCAGAACCTCCCTTAAATTAGTACAAAAACAATTTAACATTAAGGTTAGTTACAGCTGTACTAGAAACCTTGAACAATATATAGCCCAACTTAATAGTGCAAAAATAATTACAACAGTAGCGATGATGATCAAAAATGCAATTGCCGATAAGAGAACATCTGTCCTTTGAAAGGCAAACGTATGTATAAAGGAGTTATTTGTAAGGATAGCATCAAGCATAATGACCAAACTAAATTTTATTTCGGGTCAACTGCTAATAATTGAAAAAATGACCCTGAACAACAAAAAATATGCAAATGCAACAGCACTGTGTAAATTTTACCGGGGCACCAAGCCAGATAGCTACATTGATTTATATTAATAATCGAAATCTACTAAATAAACGGAATGAACTTATGTCAAGTTGTATGCACAGAAAATTGTTTCTCTTAAAATATTGTAAGCAGGGATAACCCACTTTCCGTCTAAATTTAATTTCAAATTTTACTTTTTCTTCGATTCACACATCGAATTCCTCTATCTAACCAGTCAAACGTATTTTGCGAACAGCGCCTAGTGTTAAAATTTAAAATTTTAAGCGTATTTTAATTTCACATTTTTTCTCTTTTTTTTTCTATTAATGATCTCATACCTACACCTCATTTCCTGCACATAAAACCTGACATTCTTTAGTAATAATTTGTGCTATTTTAATTTTAAAATGTAAATCAGTATCCATCCCATGAGTATCTGTATAACTTTTTTAAAATAAAAAATAAGCGATATCTCGTGCCCGATGTATTGGGTAACCTATGAAACTTGAGTCGCACATCAAACGTAGGTATATATGTATCTATTAACATATATACATATATATATATATATATATATATATATATATATATATATATATATATATATATATATATATATATATGTGTGTGTGTGTGTGTGTGAATCTATTTACTTTGTAGTTTCAATTTTGAGTTTAATTGCAAGAAAATTCAAAAGAATTATTATTAAAAATAGTAAAAAAGAAACAAATTTTGACAGTTCTTATTAGAAATTTTTACCATTCAATATTCAATTCCTCCCTGACTTTATGACATAAAAATTTAAACTCTACATATTGTGATTTTCTAAGAGTAGCTTAGATGTGGCACAAGGCCGAAAGTATAGTGCACCCAGTGAGGATTGAACTCATTCATAATTGTTCTAGCGAGACAAGCTTGCTAACCATTACACCACCGCGAGGTCCCCACTTTACAGTACATATATAATGTTTAGTGAAGTGTCTTTTGAAGAAAAAATACTGCATTTTTCCTTAAGATATAGTGGAAAATTCATTTATTTAAATTGCTTGCCTGTTGCCTGCTAGCACAGTTCAAACATCAAGAGCATGTTAGGTTTCTTTATCGACATGCGATGGAAACCCGATTTAAATTACGGGTATCTCAAGGCACAGCTGAAGTATGCATGATAACAAAAGGTCATAGATAGATCCAGGAGAACCTCAAACTAAATCAAATCAGTTGGGGACAATATGTTCTGTGTTTTGTGGGATTCAAATAGAACTCGTACTTTTTTTTTATTAACAATTGCTGGAACGTAGACGAATTGTTACAGCACAACGTTACAGTGAACAAACGGATTTTTCGAAAGATGACTTATTCTTATGAGCAAAAAGAAGATCGATCCGTGAATTTGTTTCATGACAACGCCTATTCTCAAGCAGTAAATGCAGTAAAAAAAAAGGGATCACATGTGATATCAAATTCTCCTCGAGACTACGTATTTTTTAAAATTCTCAATTTCAGACTATGAAACACTTCCTTGTTTGGTTAGTAAATAACAGTTCCAAGATGGCGACAAAACTCACTAAAAATATTTCCTTCTTTGGTTAGTGGTACCAAGATCCAAAATGGCGAGAAAATCACACGAAACCTTTCCTTGTTTGGTTAGCGATTTTAAGAGTCCCAAGATGGCGACAAAAATCAGTCGAAGCATTTCCTTGTTTGGTTAGCGATTACAATAATTCAAAGATGACGATAAAAATTCCTACGAAACATTTACTTCTTTTGCTAGTGGTTGCCGTAGCATACCTAAGGTCGATAATGGGCATGCTTCCATTTACATAAATACAGTAGTAGATACTTTACGTTGGCCTACAGTTGGAGATTCAATATGGAATTCATTGACTCATTTCTAGCATTTGAAAACTTCGTCTATGCGGCGCTGGCGAATCTTATATGTATTGTTCTTGTCCTAAGTATTATCGTTCATTACCAACATTCGTTTGATTGTTCTATTCAGTAACCTTCCCTAAGTTACAAAAGTGGTATCAATAGTTCCAAGATGACGACAGAAATCACTCGAAACATTTCCTTGTTTGGTTAGTGGTTCCAAAAGTCCAAAGACAAAAATCACTGGAAACATTCCCTTGTTTGGTAAGTGGTTCCTAAAATTCAAAGATGGCAACAAAAATCACTTGAAAGATTTCGTTGTTTAGTTAGCGGTTCCAACAGTTCCACGATGATAACAATCGCTCGAAAAATTTCCTTGTTTGATTTGTGGCACCAACAGTTCTAAGATTACGACAAACATCAGTCGAAGCATTTCCTTGATGGTTAGGGGGATTTAATAGTTTCCATGCGGCGACAAAAATCACACGAAACATTTCCTTGTTTGGTTAGTGGTTTCAACAGTTCAAATATGGCGACAAAAATCACTCAAAAAATTTCTCGACTCTAAACGGAAAATTTCTCGAGTCCAAACGCAAAACTATATTTTACGATGGAAGGCAAAATTTAGCTGAAAGTGTGTCATGTCATAAATAGGAAGCCAGAGAAAGTAGTGTGATGACTCAATATTGATATTCTGAGTTTATATTAAAATGCTGGTTACTTACGTATCAAGTGAATTTGACGAAACACAAAATGAAATTATAATGGGCCATGAGATCATAAACATCTAGTGACAGACTTAATTGCATTGAGTGTATTCTTATATACTGCGGAACTTGAAACACCGGTTCTCGTAAGATCACTTAAGTTAAGCAACGTCAAGACTGGTCAATACCTAGATAGGTGACCGCTTGGGAATACCAGGTAATGTAAGCGCCGGTGTGCGGGTGGTGTAATGAATAACAGTTAACGGAATTAGACATTTGGAAATCGGTGTGCCGAGTTCCAATTCTGTTCAGGTCCATTATATTAATTTATACGCAAATAGCTTGGGAAAGGTATGAATCCTCCTCTTCCATCAAGCTACGGGTAAATTATAGGACTTTTATTATCAGCATATCATTATTATCTCCCCGCCCCAATTATTACAACCTAAAAATATTGTCTGGCTTTAAATAACTTTCAATAGTGTGATAAACCGTTAAAATTTTATTATTTTTATAACTGAGTCACTTGTGGCGTAAATTCATATATCGGCAAATATTTTATTAGAAAAGAAAAGGGTTGTGTTCACTTTCGCAAAATATGCCCTTGCGAAAGGCATGAATCCGTTAGTTCTTTTCCCCACTCCCAGACATGGATTAAATAGCAGCGTAGACAGGTTGCCAACCAAGGCGCCTATCCTTGACAACCAGTATGGGAGAAGGAAGACGATGAATTCAAAATCATAGAGAAGACAACGAGAAATCATTCCACTATATTTTCCAAAAATTATTGTCAATTCAAAGATATTTAAAAAAATCGATGGAGGGTCCTTATTTTCTACGTCCTGAATGGACATGGCTTTATAAAAATACAAGTGAAAAAGATAGTATCGATGTCTAAACGAAGCACACGACTTTTACATCATAAGGAATTGTTTTTCTATTATATTATATTAGAACAGAACTGGTAATTAACACAAAAAAAGTTAAGAAACGTCTCTCTAGATTTCTTTAATAGCAGAACATTTTAGCGAGAGAAAATATTTATCTTAATTCTCACATATGTTTGATAAAACGAAAGTGAGAATCGTACGTGACATTTTCAGGGTCTCGGGTGTCTAAGTTAATCGAACTTGAGACATGAATATGAGAAACTGCTAGTCATGCTTTTAAGAATGTCGGCTTTCGGTTACTGTCAGGCGTCGAGTTTGTGTACGAATTTTTATCTAACTGCGTGAAAAATATATCTATTCTCCTCTTTGAAATATGTATTGTGAACAGTTGATTTAACAAATATTTTGATGTATATAACTTGTTCTTTGAGAATCAGATAAACTTGTGAAATGATGAATAAAAGATATGTAGAATTCCAATTTTATTCAGTATTTTCATCGACAAAATCAGGGGCCAGCAAATATACGTGTAAACCCTAAAATTTTGTATTGCTGAATTATGCATAAAACCTGCTATGAATTCCTCTGAGGAATGTGTGTACAATTTCAAGTGATTTGTCGTTTCCTTATGAATAACTGGAAAACATCTTTATTTTCGATTTTTCTATCCTAAACTACCTGATCATAATATGTTAATTGATTCTTTTTTATTATTAAAACTGACATTTAAAAAAATAACTTGAAACGTTTCCTCGTTTGGTTAGTGGTTTCAACAATTCAAAGATGGCGATAAAAATCACTCGAAAAATTCCTCGATTTCAAACGGAAAATTTCTCGAGTCCAAACGGAAAACTATATTTTACGACGATGGGCAAAAATGTAGCTGAAAATATGTCATGTCGTAAATAGGAAACCGGATAAAATACTGTGATGACTCAATATTTATGCTCTGAGTTTATAATAAAATTCTGGTTACTTGCATATCAATTGAATTTGACGAAACACAAAATGGAATTGTAATGGGCCATTATTTTCAAAAGTATGTCTTAATAAAACCGAGCTTTTCGCAATTGAATGTTTCGATCTAAATGAGGGGCAAATATGTTTCATAATTTTTTACTAAATTCACACAATACCAAGTAGACTGATTCGTTTTTTACGACTTATTAAGCATTTGCAGGTTATTTAAAGCCATAGAATATCTGTAGATTGTAAGAATTTTTTTTTTATTGATACAAGTCTTACTAATTAATCCATAGCTGGGAGGAAAAGGTAAGGGAATATAACGAACACAACGAGAATTGGAACTCGGCTCTCCGATTAACAATTCTGATACATTATCCATTGCACCACCCGCACACTCAAGCTTACAACACCTAGTATTCCAAAATAGAGGAATACTGAATAAGTTTTTAATATGAATATAAGAGGAGATGGAAGGAAATGATTATGAAGATAAGTGGGTAGTTAATGATTGACTCTTGATTTGAAGAGGTTAAGTTTTTAGCATTTAGAGAAGCACCCACGTGCGAGTCTGTTTTGGTGAAAAACTGTATGAGTGGGGCTTTCTCTTTGCAACTGAAAATGAAGGTGGTTCGAATCTTGTGGGCGGAAGATATCATGCCCTAAATGTAAAGTTCTGAACTGGTGGAACTAAAGAAAGATTCTGATGTGAACATTTGCCATGGAAAAAGCAACAGAGTAGCAATAACGGTTGCAACGTTGCATCTCTGGAAAAGAGGCTGCAGAGTGTAAAATAAGTTATCTCCCACAAGATCATGTACCTGACTTTGAACCTTATCAAGACTGGAAAGTGTGCACTGAACAATTATAAACAAAGGGGAGAAGAAGGAGTCAGGTACTTCCTGGAGCGGTAGAATAAATGGCCCGTTTTCCCAGTATCTTTATAAATTGATTGTGTATAAGAGTTCTGCATAAGGTCTGAAGGGAATCTAAGACCCAACAGACGTTCAATGAATGATGCCTCATTTAAAGAATCGTGACTTTAGAGTGATATTGGCTGGACCTGGTGATTGTTTGAAATGTTGGGGATCTCATAGAAATATTAATGTAAATGACTTAAAAAAAGTTACATAGATGACATGGATTTTTTGGGCTATGTTTAAAGACAGTAAATATTGGTCAAGGCAAATGCAAAAAATCATGTCCTTCCACAGCACGTTTATTCAGTAACAGAGGTAACAAGAAAGATTCTTGAAACTAAAGCTTATATTCACACAAGACAATTTGCCTTTTCAGCATAAATCTTATATTAACGCAAGACAATGCGCCTTTTCAGCCGAAATCTTTTATTGACACAAGACAATGCGCCTTTTCAGCCTAAATCTTATATTCTATCAAGACATTGTACCTTTTCAGTTGGTTATACCGAGTCTTTCCCCAAAAGGTTACAAAGACATCAAATTAATGGAATCGCCTCCAGCTTCTTCAGATATTAATAGAAGAGAAAATTAATTTTAAAAAAGATGTTGCATGAGATGAGAATGGAGAACAAAATTTCAGCAAAGTTTGCGCTCGAAATTAATTCAGTTTTATTAGTTTTCAACATTTTTATATAGGCACAGAAGCATGCGTGATTGGCGTGACGTTCACCAGTACAAAAAAATGAAGCCAGCAGACCGAGTTCGAATTTCGCCCAAAGTTGTTTACTTTTACTTACTATTAAATTTGTCTCTACTGCACCGCTTAAGATGTTCCATATCCAAACATTGACAAAATATCCTGTCACTGGCATGCCACGTTTGATGACTATGAATAGAGTAATGAGTTGATTGATTCGTTCTCTACGGTTTATCAACCCTTTGCATGTTATTTAAAGCCAGAAAATATTTTACATTGTAAGAATTTTTTTCTGGGGGGGGGTTTATGGTTTAGTGACACAAGTCTTAATAAATAACTCATAGCTGTGGGAGAAAAAGTGCATCCATAACTTTCCCTAGGGTAAGGGAATGTAACGAACCCAACCGGAATTAGAACTCAGGTCTGCAATTAACAATTTCGTGCTATTATCCACTACACCACTCGCACATCCAAGCTCTCAGCACTTGGTATTCTCCAAGTAGTTACCCATCTAGGTAATTGACTAGGTTCGACGTTGGTTAACTTCAGTGATCGTATGAAAACTGGTGTTTCAATGTGGTATGCCCGGAAACCTCGAAGAATGGAGTAGAAAAGTGAGCACTTATGACGGCCAGTCCTGCAAGAAGAAAAATCTCTTACCGCCATATTCAACCTTGACAGGGGTATAATCAATATGAATGTGGAAATTGCATAATTTATGAACGGTAACTGCAGGAACAAAGACAAAAATTAAGTATCATGATACATTCATCGTCATAGCGGAAATTGGTTTTACTGCATTGGTTCGACCTGAGAGTAGGGTTCATTGGGGGTGCCATCCTGAAGTGAACTCGTAGGACCATTATAGTTTTCATGTCATTTCAACAGGCAAAAAGAATTATTTAGTAATGTCCATTTCCTTTAAAACTCTCATGGTGCCAATAGTACTTTGTTTCATGGCGAAACTAGCATGGAAATATTCTCAGACAGACTGAAGAATTAGGAAAGAAATGATGGCAGTTCGCATTTGTAATTTACTCGCAAACATGCCAATGATCGTGTTACACGAGAAGTATATTTGTATAAGAAAACATACTAGGTAGGAATCTTTGTTGGATTGAAAACTTTTAATTTTACCACCTGACATATAAGTAACAATTATAATTGGATATAATGAAGCATTAATAATTAATATAATTAATCATAATTAGACATCATTAATCATTTACACAGAAGTCTTCTAATGCAAGGTTTTTACTTTTCCGCTACTTCTCTTAGCCGTGGTCACCACCAAAAGTAAATATTTCATCTTGTCTAATAACACTGGTCCATAAAGAAATTAAAGCAAGCACAAAAATAGCAGTTCTAAACTAAATTGTGTGTGTTGCTGATTTCAGATACAAAATCCGTTTTCATTCATGACCTAGATTTCGAGAATTATAGGCTGTTCCAATAACATGGACTGATTTTAAATGTGAATTTAATTTAAGCGTCTAACGATTTTTTTCTTTTCCTTTTAGATTTAACAACTTAAGTCTTTGGCAATTTCAAAGCTGGAAAAATTAACTATCAAACGTGTTAAAGTTATCGAAGCCTATTACGAAAATAGACATTTAAATTTATAAATATACGGCCCATTGATTCCGTTAGCGAAAAATGCGCTCCAATGAGCATTTTCGGATGAAGTGGCTTTTCAAAAAACTTCCTTAGATTTTCATCAGCTCAAATGCTACAATTCTACTTATTAAAGAATCCA